ATACCTTTCACTTGAATAATGATTTAAACACATTACTTCCTGTTTTTGAGACAGAGTCTTGCTCTGTTGCCCAGACTTTAGTGCAGTGGCATGATCTCGGCTCACTGCAGCCTCTGCCTCCTGGGTTCAAGTGATTCTCCTGCCTCAGCCTCCCAAGTAGCTGGGATTACAGGAGCCTTCTACCATACCTGGCTAATTTTTGTATTTTTAGTTAGAGAAGGGTTTTGCCATATTGGCCAGGTTGGTCTTGAATTTCTGACCTCAGCTGATCTGCCTACCTCTGCCTCCCACAGTGCTGGGATTACAGGTGTGAGCCACGACCCCTGGCCAATCTGTTTTTTTACTTTTTGAGATGGGGTCTCCCTCTGTTGCCCAGGCTGGAGTGCAGTGGTGAGATTTCTACTCACTGCAGCCTCTGCCTTCCAGTGCCTGGCCTAAATTACAGATTTGTAGCTGAATTTGGTCCAAGCTGATTTGGTAGCTTCTCTTTTCTCCTTACTCCCATTTGAAATTAGTGAATTAAAAAAAAATTTTTTTTTGGAGATGCAGTTTCATTCTTGTTGCCCAGGCTGGAGTGCAATGGCACGATCTCGGCTCACTGCAACCCCCACCTCCTGGGTTCAAGCGATTCTCCTGCCTCAGCCTCCTGAGCAGCTGGGATCACAGGCATGCGCCATCATGTTCACCTAATTTTGTAGTTTTAGTAGAGACCTGGTTTCTCCATGTTGGTCAGGCTGGTCTTGAACTCCCGACCTTGGGTGTCACCTCAGCCTTCCAAAGTGCTGGGATTACAGGCATGAGCTGCTGCCACCAGCTATGAATTAAATTGTTATTGTGAAATATTTTTGTTAGCCTGAGCAACATGGCAAAACCCTGTCTTTACCAAAAAAGATACAAAAATTAGCCCAGTGTGATGGTATGCACCTGTAATCTCAGCTACTCTGGAGGCTGAGGCAAAAGGATCACTTTAGCCCAGGTGGCAGAGGTTGTGGTGAGCTGAGATCACGTCACTACACTCCAGCCTGAGTGACAGGGCAAGGCCCTTTCTCAAAAAAAAATGTTTTGTGGCCCTTTGAAATTACAGTTGAGGAATCTGGCCGGGCTTTGTGGCTCAATGCCTGTAATCCCGGCACTTTGGGAGGCTGAGGCAGGCAGGTCACCTGAGGTCAAGAGTTCAAGACCAACCTGGTCAACATGGCAAAACCTCATCTCTGCTGAAAATAAAAAATTAGCTGGACGTGGTCGTGGATGACTACAATCTCAGCTAACCCAGGAGGCTGAGGCAGGAGAATCATTTGAACCCTGGAGACAGAGGTTGCAGTGAGCCAGGATTGTGTCATTACACTCTAGCCTGGGCAACAAGAATGAAACTGTCTCAAAAACAAAAACAAACAAACAAACAAAAAAATCTGTCGAGAGGCTGTTGTTGCATTAGTGGTTCTCAGTTGGGTATGAAATTTGAAAAGAATTGGGGGAAGCCAGGTACTATGGTTATTTTAAGTTCTCCTCTGCACTTCACCAGATGCTTGTGGAAAGTGTCTGGTTATTCATAGGCTGGTGCTTGTGGGGGTATCTGCCCATGCCCCGTGGAACCCAAATCCTCAAGAGCCTAGGGAAGCTCCACATGGCAGCTGTATGCTTTTGAGGGATGAAGGATTTTTTTTTGCCTTTCCCTGCTTTGTAGGTATCTAGGTCTTTAGGTAGGCAACGTGAATAATTGCTGCTGATCTTCTGACCTATCCCTGCAGAGAAGTCAGGGAGGACTAGGTAGCCCTTTTGAAGGGGGAGGGGTTTGGCTGGACTTTACCAATTCTCTGGAAGACTTTGCTGTTCTCTGGAAGACTGGCATGGCTGGCGGGTCTGTCAGTGGACTCACACAAGATGCCTGGCCTATAGCACTTGGAGGATCCATATTTCGTATACGAATTAATTGGAAATAGAATCTTTGTCTTTGGTTCAATCTCCTGGTTTCTAACGTAAACCATTTTTAGGGGAGCATTATATATGAAGGTAGGAGATACTCCCTACCTTCGAAATCATGTTATTGTTGTGAATTACACATTTTCTTTTTAGTGTTAGGCAAAATTTTTTTCATATATTAAGTTTTATCATGTATACTTTTTAAGGTTTTTTTGATTATAAAATCTTAGTTTGAGGTAATATAAATAGAAAACTAGATACAGAGTGTGTGCCTGGTTCGTGTTACCTCAGAAGCAGTTGGGCTGTCAGCCTAGTGAAAAGTAAATTTAGTTGTTTTGTCCAAAGGGTGCCAGTGTAACTTTGGTGATCTGGATTTTGCTTTTCGGTTTGATGACTATATTGCATAGACAGTTTCTGAAAAGTTGATTAATTAAAAAATTCAGGGCTGGGCGCGGTGGCTCAAGCCTGTAATCCCAGCACTTTGGGAGGCCGAGGCGGGTGGATCACGAGGTCGAGAGATCGAGACCATCCTGGTCAACATGGTGAAACCCCGTCTCTACTAAAAATACAAAAAAATTAGCTGGGCATGGTGGCGTGTGCCTGTAATCCCAGCTACTCAGGATGCTGAGGCAGGAGAATTGCCTGAACCCAGGAGGCGGAGGTTGTGGTGAGCCGAGATCGCGCCATTGCACTCCAGCCTGGGTAACAAGAGCGAAACTCTGTCTCAAAAAAAAAAAAAAATTGAAAATGTTGTTGGGCATTTCCGTCTAGCATTTGTAGGTAGAAGGTTGATTGGTTAGAGTCATCTCAATAAGAGATCACCAAGTGTAATATAGTTAGATCTATTGTTTCATGTTCTTACAGACTGCTGAATGTTTGCTACCTTTTTGCTATTCTTTGAATCTAAATGTGTAAATAAATTAGTGATTCTCCTTGGCAGCAAAACTTGGAACTACATAACTCTTTTTTTTTTTTTTTTTTTTTTTTTAAGACAGAGTCTCATTCTGTTGCCATGCTGGAGTACAGTGGTGTGATCTTGGCTTACTGCAACCTCCAACTCGCTGGTTCAGCCGATTCTCCTGCCTCAGCTTCCTGAGTAGTTGGGATTACAGGCATGTACCACCACACCCAGCTAATTTTTGTATTTTTGGTAGAGACAGGGTTTCGCCACATTAGCTCGGATGGTCTTGATCTCCTTACCTCGTGGTCTGCCCACCTTGGGCTCCCAAAGTGCTGGGATTACAGGCGTGAGCCACTGTGCCTGGCTGGAACTACATTAACTCTTATAATTCTATTTCAAAAGAAGAAACTGAGCAACAAATACTCACTTTTGCCAGTTGCAGTGGCTCACTCCTATAGTCCACTATTGGGGAGGCTGAAGCAGGAAGATTGCTTGAGCCCAAGGCTGTAGTTTGCAATGATTGTGAATTGCCACTGCATTCTCCCACCTGACCACCATAGTGAGACCTTGTCTCTCATAGTAAAAAAAAGAAAAACAGTCACTTCTATATGGCCTTTGGTTCTTACAACTGTGAGTTGTACTTGATCAGATCATTAATTCAAACTAGAGGCTGGGTGTGGTGGCCACGCCTGTAATCCCAGCACTTGGTTGGGAGGCTAAGGCGGATGTCACCTGAGATCAGGAGTTCGAGACAAGTCTGGCCAACATGGTGAAACCCCATCTTTACTAAAAATACAAAAATTAGCTAGGTGTGGTAGTGGGCACCTGTAATGCCAGCTACTCGGGAGGCTGAGGCAGGAGAATTGCTTGAACCCAGGAGGTAGAGGTTGCAGTGAGCTGAGATCAAGTCACTGCAATCCAGCCTGGGCAATGGTGAGACTCTGTCTCAAAAAAAAAAAAAAAAAAAAAAAAAAATTCAAACTAGGAGAGCCTACAAGGACATAATCCTGTGAGGGAGCTCTTAGACAGTTTGGGTTGCCTTTTTTTTTTTTTTTTTCTCCAATGAGACGGTCTCTGTCTCTCTCTCTGTCTCTCTCTCCGTCTCTCTCTCCCCCTCTCCCCTCCCCTTCCTTTCCCCCTCCTCCTTCCTCCCTCCCTCCCCTCTGTTGTTCAGGCTGGAGTGCAGTGGTGCCATCATGGCTCACTGCAGCCTCAACCTTCTAGGCACAAAGCAATCCTTCTGCCTCAGCCTCCCTAGTAGCTGGAACCTACAGTCTCACACCACCATGCCCGGCTAATTTTTGTATATTTTTGTAGAGACAGGATTTTGCCGTGTTGCCCAGGCTGGTCTTGAACTCCTGAGCTCAAGCGTTCATCTTGCCTCAGCCTCCCAAAGTGCTGGGGTTACAGGTGTGAGCCATTGTACCTGGCCATTAATTTTTATTACAAATTATATTCAAATAGACGAAAATAGGAGGGAAAAGAATTTTTAGTATGGATAGCAATTTTGACAGGAGTTTTAGCCCTTTATCTTAACTTGGTGGCTGGTATTAAAGTTGCCCTTAAGTATACTTAAGCATACTAAAATGTTGAACACAATATGTGTTTGGTAACAGAATTATCAAGGAAACTGAGGAAAAAAAGCACTCATCTTTGCATCACAATATGACATTATTAGCATCTGTTAACTTTACAAACCTGATTCATTCAGTTCTCCACAGCCACCATCTTGATAATGAAATTAAAAAAAAAAATTGTGTATTTTGTCACTCCATTTATATCTGTAAAGATTTAAAACAGAACATACCATTCTTTTGAGTTAGGTTGGTTGTATGGTTGGAAGAAGGAAAGGAGGTAGACCTTTAAATGTCTTGATTGCTGCCCATTCCTCGCAGCAGTGAAGAAAGGGAGCTCTTCAGTGCTGTCTCTGATTATCAAATGCTGTATATGTGAGTATACCTGTGTTGTCTGTGGTGCCGTTGTGAACCCTCACTTGCTTTTATCTTTTCTATCCATGAGCTCTTGCATTAGGGTGGTTAGTAATAGTTACCAGTTGTTTCTCTTGGAGTAATTAAGGCGACATTTCCCTTGTTTGAGATTTAGCTAAGAGTTTCATACATAACATATAAACCATGATATATCAGACTGTTATCTGTGGTTCATAAAGACTATAATTTCTAGCTTTGTGCAGTGGCAGTATCGTAGCCAATGAGATTTATCCAAGGTGTGATTATTGCTAATTGAAAACTTTTTCCCAATACCCCGCTGTGACATCTTGCAATATAGTCAGCACTGGCAATTTTTGACAGTCTCTATAGAAACTGATTAAAAAAAAAAAAAGACTATAATCTCTTTTCATTTTCATAAATTGTGTGTTTTCAATTGTATGTTCACTCTCTATAGATATTTTTAAATTAATTAATTTTTTTGAGCTGGGGTGTTGGCTGGACTGCAGTGATGTGATTTCAACTTGCTGCAACCTCCACTTCCTGGGTTCAAGTGATTCTCCTGTCTCAGCATCCTAAGTATCTGGGACTACAGGTGCGTGCCACCATGCCTGGCTAATTTTTGTATTTTTATTAGAGATGGGGTTTTGCCATTTTGGCTGTGCTTGTCTTGAACTCTTGACTTCAGGTGACCCACCCACCTTTGTCTTCCAAAGTGCTGGGATTATAGGCATGAGCCACCTCACCCAGCCTATATGTCTTTTCTGTTCGTGTTCTTAGCTTATACTTTAATTTCTAGGACTCAAGCAAGGCAAACTCACTGATAGGAAAGTACTTTAGGTTAATTACAGGCAGCACACACTCACCTTTGGAGATAGGGTATTTCCAGATCCTTTAATTAAAAGTAGAAGCAAAGCCAGGTCCTTGTTTCTTTTCTTTCTTTTCTTTTCTTTTTTTTTTTTTTTTTATGATGGGGTTTCACCATGATGGCTAGGCTTGTCTTGAACTCCTGACCTCAGGTGATCCACCCACCTCGGCCTCCCAAAGTGCTAGGATTACAGGTGTGAGCCACCGTGCCCGGCCAAGCCAGGTCCTTGTTTCTAGGAGTTTGAGCTTAAGGTATAGTTCATCTATTTTACTTTGTGCATTTTGGCAGTGATGTATCATACTTGATCTTACTCATGCCAAAAGTGTGCAGTTATTTACAATTTTAATGTGTACCCTCTGAATGTGAAAGTAACAGGCAATGCTTTGAGTTTGCCTTAGCAGTGAAGTCAGACCCAGTGGAACTTGGCACCTGAATTTTGTGTTTTTCTCTCTGTCTCTCTCTCTCTCTTTTTTTTTTTTTTTGTTTTAAAATAGAAACAAGGTCTCTGTCACCCAGGATGGAGTATGGTGGTATGATTGTAGCTTGCCTTAAACTCCTGAGTTCAAGTGATTTCTCTCACTTCAGCTTCCTGAGTAGCTGGGACTATAGGCATGCAAGATCACACCCAGCTAATTTTTAAATTTTTATTGTTTTTGTAGAGCTGGGCTTTACCATCTTGCCCAGGCTGATCTTGAACTCTTGAGCTCAAGTGATTATCTTGCCTAGGCCTCTCAAAATGCTGGGATTATAGGCATGAGCCACTGCATCCAGCCAAGTTTTGTGTGTGTGTGTGTGTGTTTTAATGGTGTGTCTCTCTGTCACCCAGACTGGAATGCAGTGGCATGATCTCAGCTCATTGCAACCTCTGCCTCCCAGGTTCAAGCGATTCTTCTGCCTCAGTCTCGTTAGTAGTTGGGATTACAGATTACAGACATGTGTCACTATGCCCAGCTAATTTTTTTCTATTTTTAGTAGAGATGGTGTTTCTCCATGTTGGTCAGGCTGGTCTTCAATGACCTCAGGTGATCCTTCTACCTTGGCCTCCCAAAGTGCTGGGATTATAGGCGTGAGCCACTGCAGCCAGTCTGAACTGGATTATCTTAATGAACATGTGTCTTTTTATTTGCTTAATGAGAATTAGAAATTCTTTTTTTTGGCCGGGCGCAGTGGCTCAAGCCTGTAATCCCAGCACTTTGGGAGGCCGAGGCGGGTGGATCACGAGGTCAAGAGATCGAGACCATCCTGGTCAACATGGTGAAACCCCGTCTCTACTAAAAATACAAAAAATTAGCTGGGCATGGTGGTGTGTGCCTGTAATCCCAGCTACTCAGGAGGCTGAGGCAGGAGAATTGCTTGAACCCAGGAGGCGGAGGTTGCAGTGAGCCGAGATCGCGCCATTGCACTCCAGCCTGAGAACGAAACTCTGTCTCAAAAAAAAAAAAAAAAAAAAAATTCTTTTTTTTTTTTTTTTTTTTCAGAATCAGAAATTAGTGTGTGACTTGTGTGCTTTTAAATTGGGACCATTACTCATTTGAATGAATTGGATAAAATGTGATGGTTTTAGTCTGCCAGTTCTGGCAGTTTTATTTCTTAAATGTCATTCTTAAAGTGTTTTGTCAGCTCTGATGACGTTCTGATGGCATCTTATTATTTAAAGTTAAATTTTAATAGGCATTAGAATCATAGATTTTACCATGTTTTTATACTTGGAGAAAACCTGGACTGCAACTACTAGTATTTATAAAGGAATGGTGGCTTTTCAAATATAAGGGTGGAAATTAATAATAATGTTATTACTATACTAATAAGTGTGGAAATTAATAATCGCTTCTCTTTAGGGAATAGCAAGTGTGGCCTTAAGTGGTAGTTTAAGAAGTATTAATGCTTGACTGTACCATTTCAGAAGAGGAAACTCTTGTAACTTTGTTATTACGGATAGAAAAAAAATAGAGGTGAAGGTTGAGAGGACACTGCTTTTCAACTGTGATTAACATCAGTTTTACTATAGTCATTTTTGTTGTGTGAAAAATAGAATTAAAACAACAGCCTAGTAATGTCTGTTAATCTTGTTTATGAATATAAGATTCGTAAAGAAAAATAAAAATGATTTTAGCAGGTTTTAATATCAGTGTCCTGGCACCTCTCTATAACAGTAGATTTAGATGGTATTGCATCTTACATTCTTTTTTTTTTTTTTTTTTTTTTTTTGAGACAGAGTCTTTCTCTGTTGCCCTGCCGGAGTACAGTGGTGCGGTCTCAGCTCACTGGAACCTCTGCCTCCCTGGTTCAAGCGATTCTCCTGCCTCAGCCTCCTGAGCTGGGATTCCAGGCACCCACCACCATGCCCAGCTAATTTTTTTTTTTTTTTTTTTTTTTTTTTTTTTTTTTAGGAGACATGGGATTTCACTGTGTTAGCCAGGATGATAGTCTCGTGTTCGTCTCGATTTCCTGACCTTGTGATCTGCCCGCCTTGGCCTCCCAAAGTCTGGGATTATAGGCATGAGCCACAGTGCCCGGCCAGAAAGTGAACATTAATGACAAACATCTTGCTACATATTTTTCATTTATTTATTAAAAAATTTTTTTAAATGAATTTCTCCTCAGAAATCATTTATTATTTTTTTGAGACTGAGTTGCGTTTTGTCACTCAGGCTGGAGTACAGTGGTGCAATTTTGGCTCACTGCAGTTTCCACCTCCTGCATTCAAGTGATTCTCCTGCCTCAGTCTCCTGAGTAGCTGGGATTATAGGTGTGTGATGACATGCTGGGCTAATTTTTTGTATTTTTAGTAGTGACAGGTTTCACCATGTTAGCCAGGCTGGTCTTGGAACTCCTGGCCTCAAGTTATCCTCCTGCCTTGTCCTCCCAAAGTGCTAGGATTACAGACACAAGCCACCACGCCCAGCTATTCTTGCTACATAGAAATAGTAGTGGTGGGCTGGGCATGGTGGCTCACGCCTGTAATCCCAACTCTTTGGGAGGCCGAGGCAGGTGGATCATGAGGTCAAGCGATCGAGACCATCCTGATCAATATGGGGAAACCCTGTCTCTACTAAAAATTCAAAAAATTATCTGGGCATGGTGGCGTGTGCCTGTAATCCTAGCTACTCAGGAGGCCGAGACAGGAGAATTGCCTGAACCCAGGAGGCGGAGGTTGTGGTGAGCCGAGATCGCGCCATTGCACTCCAGCCTGGGTTACAAGAGTGAAACTCCGTCTAAAAAAAAAAAAAAAAAAAAAAAATAGTAGTGGTAATTAATTGTCTAATTTGAGATTGTAGAAGTAGTTCAGAATTATGTATTAATTCATGAGGACTCCTGGGTTTTTGTGTGGTATGTAAGTCAGAAGTATTTGTAAGCAACTGTTTGTTAGTTTAGTAACCTTGGTGCATTTTTAAACCTTTGATGGTAAATAGTGCCAGTACCTGCATGTCATGTAGATGGTGAGAGTCAGAAGTATGGCACTTAAGTCCATCTTACTGGCTTGATGACTCTGGGCAGGTGTTCAACTGGCTCTTTTGTACCTCTGGTCCTTTATTTGCCTTCTGAAATTTGAGTGCCTTATTGGGCACTTGTAGTTAACAGAGCTAGTAGTCTTTTAAAAAGTACTAACTTTTGGCTGGCGTGGTGGCTCACGCCTGTAATCTCAGCACTCTGGGAGGCTGAGTCAGGTGGATCACTTGAGGTCAGGAGTTCAAGACCAGCTTGGCCAACATGGTGAAACCCTGTCTCTACTCATGGATCTCAATGAACTGAGATAGTGCCTTTGCACTCCAGCCTGGGTAACAAGAGTGAAACTCCATCTCAAAACAAAAAACAAAAAGTAAGTACTAACTTTTAAACTATAAAAATAGAATTTTTAATGTAATAGTATTTACATGTAAATGCTATTTTACATATAAAGTTCTATAAACTAGTTTTACTTCTTTTTTTTTTTTTTTTATGAGAGGGAGTTTCGCTCTTGTTACCCAGGCTGGAGTGCAATGGCGCGATCTCTGCTCACCGCAACCTCTGCCTCCTGGGTTCAGGCAATTCTCCTGCCTCAGCCTCCTGAGTAGCTGGGATTACAGGCACGCGCCACCATGCCCAGCTAATTTTTTGTATTTTTGGTAGAGACGGGGTTTCACCATGTTGACCAGGATGGTCTCGATCTCTTGACCTCGTGATCCACCCGCCTCGGCCTCCCAAAGTGCTGGGATTACAGGCTTGAGCCACCGCGCCCGGCCTAAAAAATTTTTAAAATATAAAAGTATCTAACTTTTCCGGGATTGTGGCTCACTGCAACCTCCACCTCCCAGGTTTAAGCAATTCTCCTGCCTCAGCCTCCTGAGTAGCTGGGATTACCAGCATGTGCCATCATGCCTGGCTAATTTTTGTATTTTTAGTAGAGACGGGATTTCACCATGTTGGCCAGGCTGGTCTCGAACTCCTTATCTAAGGCCGTCCGCCTCAGCCTCCTAAAGTGCGGGGATTACAGGCATGAGCCACTGCAGCTGGACTTTAAATTTAT